TGATAAAATAACATCCTACCTGAAGTGCAACTGGTGGTTGATGATGTGTAATAGTTGTTTACTGCACACAAGCAACGGTTAATATTATTTTTATCACTCCTGCACACGAATGGTGTTGAACATTCTTCATTTCCAGTAGTACATACCATACTATGGGATTTTTCTAAAATAAAATACATATTATCAAAAATACTTTTATTCATGTTTATTTATCAAAACATTAAAAGCTATTTGATTTTATCACTTGTCTTCCAGCGGTAAATGTTCTTATTTTAAGTATTCTAATATTTTGTTTGTATATAGTAGGATTCAACTCTTTACCAAGAAAATGTTTTGATAATTCTTTAACAAAATCATAATAAAAGCATGAAAAAAAAATAGCTTTACAGTGCTAAAAAATCATATCTTTTCACAATACTACTAAAAACATTCGTTGATTAATGTAATGAGAAGATTTTTTAAATGAGCAAAACGTTTAAGGTAAATTATAATTAATGTTCTACAGTCTGTTTTTCGTCCCTGCAAGTTTTAAAAATTATTTTAAAGGTGTCATATAGGTTTTAATTTCTATTAGTATTTAAGTAGTGTAAAAATATAGCAAGCAGTGGGTTCATTAAAAAGTTCAAGCCAAATTAAAAAAACAAATCACTTGGATAACAAGAATCACCAGTAAGATACTGGTAACTTATACAGCCACAAAGAGCATTAACGCAGGTTATGTTGGATTTACATTGGTCAGGAGAAGAGCATGAACCATTGGAGGATAATTCTTTAACAAAATCATAATAAAAGCATGAAAAATAATTAGCTTTACAGTGCTTAAAAATATACTTTAACAATACTAATAAAAACATTTGTTGATTAATGTAATGAAAAGATTTCTTAAATGAGCAAAACTTATAAAGTAAATTGTAATTAATGTTCCTTGATTTGTATTTTCGTCCCTGAAGAAATTTATTATTTTATGTGTGTCATATAGGTTTTAATTTCTATTAGTATTTAAGAAGTGTAAAAATATAGCAAGCAGTGGGTTTATTAATTTTTCAGTCTTTGCAGTAGTAAACCCAATATTTGTAGGTATTATTGTTATTTTGAATAAGCTTTCACTTATTGCTTATTTTATAGTACATATTTGTTGATAACACTATTTAAAACGAACGTAGTCGCTATCGCGCTCACAGCAGAACCCTGGGCGCCAAATTGCAAACAACCTGGGCGCCACCCTTGCGAAATGGATTTTATTTTTCACAAAAATCTCCCCACGAGTATTCTCAACGACTTTCCAAAGTTTTATGGCGATCGTATAAAATTTGTAGCAATGCATAAAATACAAATAAAGTCTGACGAAATATATACATTTAAATAACTCAAAAATTAGAAAACAAGGTCTAAGAATAGATGACTGGTAAAGTAATTATGAAACCCTCCTAATATATTTCGTCAGACTTTAATTTTCTTTTATGCACTACTACACCTTTCATCCGATCGCCATGAAACTTTGGAATGTTGTTGAGAATACTCCAAGGAAAACAAAATTTTACACGGGTGGCACACCAGCAAGGTGCAATTTTTCGCCCCAGATAATCCCGTGAGCACTATGACGCCTACGTTCAAGGCTTTCATACACCACACCCTGGGGCGTACTGTGCTGTAGTGTGGTGAAACCCGTGCACAGAAAAATATGATCCAAGAAATACAGCGCAGGCATTGTTTACATTTAAATAACTCAGCTTTAGTAAATAAGGTCACGCGTCTAAGAATATGGGATTAGTAACGCATTGATGATACCCACTTAAATTATTGCGTGAGACTTACGTCTAAAAGCTCGACAATGCTCAGGGACGGGTATGCTAGTAACTTATGTTCGAAAGTTATCCCTTCGAAAAAATAGTTATCTGACTAGGGCGCATAAAATAAAGTTCTAAAAGAAAAAGCTTAACATTCGTGCTTAAAATGTAAAAAGAATTCTAATAGAATTTAATTTATTTTATTGATGTGATAAAATATAATCACAACTAGATATGAATACACAGAGTCAAATGATGTATTAAATAAAACATTACCCAGGCATGTTCCCGAATCACACGAATGACAGCATGACTGATAAAGTAAAAAGTAAAAAGTAAAAATATAAATTATATTATCGAATGTGTAGATCTAGGCCTCTAATAATATGAATAACTAAATTACTGATTATTTTACTAACAAAGACAAGGAATAAAGTATCGATTGAATGTTAAATGTTAAACAAAATTAAAAGTTCCGAAACTCACACATCCAATGAATTTCAGAAAAAAAAGAAGTATACAAAAGTATATATAGAGCGTCTGAAGACTCCAAGTTGTAGTATGAATGTTTATAATTCTAAATTCAAAATATATAAAAAACACTTACCATGAGATACAAAAAAATAACGATGATGCATAAGGTTGAGGTGGTGAAAATGTGATCGTAGTTGTTGAAGGCCATAATGCAATGGCAAAATCAAACTACTACTTGTTTCTATAAAATTTCAGCAGTTTGATTCAAAGTGTAGTTAAACGGTCTCAAAGCAGTAGCAGTTGTCGTTTTCTATCGTGGTAAGATGATATAGATCTTTAGCTATAGCTATAAGTAACATTGGCAATAAATGGAAAAAGATGGAGTTGCAACAAGCATATATCTATATGATACGTGGCAGTTTAGTTTGGGTGCATATCAGGTGTGTGCTGTTATTGTGAAATGATACTATTTATTTCTCCCTAGAATCTTGCTTTCCTTACCGAAGGTATTTTATAACTACACCAAGCTTATCACAAATACTCAAAACATAAAACTGATAAAAATATGTGTTGTAAAATGGTATAATTGTTATAAGTTTATACAAAGGGATTCTGGTCATTATTTACTTGGTTCTTAAAATTGATCGGTACAGATTCCTCTTCACCTCTAATGCTTGCTGTAGGATATTTTACTGGTCGGATAATTAATTCACACTTTTTACTACTAAATCAATTGGATTCAGAAAACAACAGTCTATTTTCTTAATCGCAACTGTGTATAATTCAGTTATGCAGTTCAAAAAGAGTTCCCCACCCTCTACCCTCTTTATAGCCACCTAAGTGACGGCACGACTACATCCAGCTACACATTAGTTTCTATGTGTATTTGAATCAGGCCTTTGTGCAGATCTTTTATGGAAGATAACACTATCCCCTTCCAAAAATAAATATGAAAATAAACTAATTGGTACACACAAAAGCGGATTATGATCGTTATTTTAATGATCTTTTAAAAATAGTTTTAGAATAAACTATTATTATTGTTTATAATCGATCTCTCTAACTGGTACATTCAGGATTTTAATTGAAATAGATGTTTGTTCTCTATTTAAATAAGACGAGAAAATGAAACTATCAACGATTCCTTACTTTAATCATTACTTGACTTTTATCGATTGTTCATCTTGCTGTACTTGAAACATGACCTTGCTACAGGTTTAAAAGAAGTCTTATGAGAATAGCACGTATATATACTTCAGTTTTGATTTATAGATTGAGAACATTGCCAGAATGAATTGGTTTTTGGAATTCAGATTTCAACATTGTTCTAAGTAAAAACATCTGTGACATTTTTTTTGGCTTTAGATTTTGAAAACCTTCATTACATGTGTAGGCCTACTTGGCGCATCAAGCGGTAAAAATCGATACTTAAGTTCTGATACCCACACTAACAAAATTTAGCCTTAATAGTTATTTAAATTGTATAGGGACTTACCTTTGGTAAATAAGCCTTCTCTTAATTACAAAGGCCAGCACATATTGTTTTCTGATAAATGTCACGACTCGAGAAAAATGCTTTGTTACTTTAGAAAAACTTTGAGGTTCAAAACTTTTAAAACAGCTATACTACCCAAGTCGCTTTAATTTTGTTGTGTGTAATCTGCTTATATATTTCAGATACAGATAAGTCGTACCGGAGTACGAAAAATTTCATTTCACTGCAACCGATTTGAACGTGAATGTAGAAAACTTTAGATCAATTTTTTAAATACTCTCGCTGGTAGTGTTCTGTCGTTGTTATATCCCTTTAAAAAAAAACAGCAACTGAGAGCTTAAAAAAATAATACTTGATTTTCTTCAAAACATTATATAGAGGTCTGGGGTTAAGTTCTTGACGTTTATAAGGAGATAGAGAGGTGAGGGAAAGCGGACGATTACTTATTTCAACAAGTTTGTTTTCATTTGTTAATTTTATGTAAAAGAAGGTATATAAAAATGTTGCACCTTTACGAATAATATAACATTTATGAACACGTCTATTAGTTTTATATCACAATTAGTCTGGATTATTTATTAAAGTATGCTTAAGCCTCCTATATTTTTTAAAAATAAAACAGAAACTGTAAAATATCTTACAGCACAGTCTGTTATCAGTAGGCCTACTTGATGAATGAACATTGTGACAAGGGACAGCAGTCGAGTGACTTACAACACACATTAGACTCCCTTCATGTACACTTGTTATCTTAAACTGAGTGGTTTCCCCTGGGTAGTTGTGTGTACAGTGCACACCTAAACCAGGAAGCAGCCAGTGTAAATCTTGTCTTTGAGTTGCCCGATGAAACAACATACATAACCTAGCTAAACTAATGCACTGAATACACAGGTGCGATAGTGTAGACTGTAGAAGGTTTTAAAAATAGCTAACAAGGAAGTGATATTCAAAATAGTCTTGTGGATCTCAGTGATTTATAAATGAAACAGCTCACTTATTTTATAGCAGTATTAGATGTAGTAATTAGCTTGTCGTCCAATTAAGAGACTGAAAACAACCTTTGCACCAAATTCGATTCTGAGCTATTTTCAGCGGTAACCAACCGACATTAACAACAATTGCAAAATACAAAAAAATAAATAAAAAACTTTCTTATTTTAAAATCATTGTAATTAAAAAAACATACATTTCTAGTATAAGTGATTTTATTATATTAAACATTGGTGACCCAAAAATTTAGCGACACAGAGGGAAAGGCAGAATTTTCAGCCCAGATCTCGTTAGCAGGAAATTACATGAAAATGATATTTTTTCATTTTTCAAACGAAAGTAATAATTTAAATCGATTTCTCTAAAACATTAATTAAAAGCTAGTTAACTTACTTTATATGACATTTGGTTTCTGCTAATAATAAAATTTAATTTATTTAATATGTTTAATTAAGGTGGTTTAAAAAAAATATTTGATATAGTTATAATATTAATACTTAATATTATGTATATATATATATATATATATATATATATATATATATATATATATATATATATATATATATATATATATATATATATATATATATATATATATACGTTATTGTCAGAGCCCGTAGTGCGACCAAAGAATGTATTTGCCGGCTCGCTTAGCAAAGCTCGAAAAACTTAGTACTGACAGCGTTTTTCAGACATTGGCCGACTAATATGCGCACCGTCCAATATCGGCTCCACTATGATTGCATTTTTATCATTCTGGCCGCAGCTTCATTGTATGTAATGTATAACTCGGCTCATGTGTGTAGTATATTGTATATACAATGCGACATGGAACAAACGGGCCGTCAAACTATTAGGCAGACTGGCAACACCCCCCCCCCCCCACACACACCTATCTTAGTTTCCAAAAACAGTATAATAGGGCTACTATTGTATGTTACAGCATCTTCTATGCTGATGTGACCTACCTAGGTCTGGTAATGTTTTATTTTTACATTTTGTTATAATACCATATATGGTTTGTGGTGCAATGACCGGTTTTTTCCGCTGTCTTACCAAGAGAGTCTTAGACTCAGAAATTTTCCATCAAGATCTGATTGATTGATTCAGACCAGATGATCACCCCAACCAATGGCCATATGAGTTGAAGGTGACCTTCCATGTTGCCTAAGTCTATAAATAGACTGCGCACAGGCGTCTCGAGGCAATTACTTGACCAGACGTCGTTGATCAGACATAAGCCCTGTGTGTTGCCGTTTAGTACTAATACTAAGTTGTTAAGTAGCATAACCATATATTACTTGTGGTGAAGTAATTCTTTATGCTTATAGCAGTGTTGTGTATACGGTGGTGATTTTTCTGAAGTGTTAAAAGCTGTGATAGTGTATCATATTGTTATTTCCCACACATTGTAAGTTGGGTTTTGATCATTCTGTAAATCCATTTTATTCTTGTATAAATCTAGTGTTCTGCCACGACTTTGTACTCTTATTACAAGTTATATGCAGATTAAATGTATTGTTGGCATCAGTAGTTTCTCTAGTGTTTCCCCTAGACATTAAGTACGAGTCCTAGTAAAATTACTGTGTTGGCTTTCTTTTATTTAGGCTTGTCGCCATCTGTGTGTAATCAGTTAAACGAATCCGGGAGCGTTCGCCATCTATCTGGCTGATAGATTGGTGTCCGTTACACTGACAAGGTGAGACAATCTTCAAGGGAAAAAATCAAAGACCGTCAGCGTCACCGTCTACGTGCAACAAGATGTAACTTTCAAAAGACATCGCCGCGGTGGATGGTTACCTTGTGAGGTATGAGTCTGTGTGTGGGTGTATAAGTTTATGCTTTTGAGTGTATGAGTGTGTGTGACTGTGTGTACAAACGCTGTGAGGTTTGAGTGTGTGTGTGAGTGTGTGTGACAAAGTGTATAAGTTTATGTGTATGAATGTGTGTGAGTGTATGTGAGTGTGTGTGAGTGTGAGTACAAACGCTGTGAGGTTTGTGTGTGAGTGTGTGTGAAAAGTGTATAAGTTTATGTGTATGAGTGTGTGTGAGTGTACAAACGCTGTGAGATTTGAGTGTGTGTGAGTGTGTGTGTATGAGTGTATACTTTTATGTTTATGAGTGTATGAGTGTGTGTGAGTCGCTTTATTATAAAACATCAATACTAAATGCTAAAAATTGTAGTTGAAAACAAACGCTTGCAACCTTTTTTCAAATGAACCCCTAAAGTTTTGAACATTTTTTGTGAAAGAAATGTAAAGACACTCAAGCGAAGTATTAAAAAAATCAAAAACAAAATTCTAGCATGTTTTTACCATTTTGTGAACTTTTATTTTTGTTTGCAAAAACCTGAAAAACGTTCATAGACCATATAACTTTATATTACTTCTAAATAACTGTGAAAACTAAGGGATAATAATTATAATGCTTATCATGAAGGGGAAAGTTGTGATTTATCAGTTTATAATGTTTAGGACTGCGGTATTACCAAGAAATTTTATTTTATCAATAGAAGAAATTGGCTGAAGTAGACTACTATTTTATTTTTACTTACCAAGATTCTTAGAGTTTGGAAAGTCTGCAAATGTGTATGTTATTTATCTTAAAAATTATACCAATATACTACCACACAGTTTTATAGCTTTTCTATTTTCATGAAAAACATTAAGAAAATAAATATTTACTTTGAAATATTCAATGGAAAAGCTAGCACATATAGAACAATAACAAATACAACCCCTTATTGTTTAA